CACAATATCATCCACATAAATGAGCAAAGCTGTGAAAGAAATACCAGACTTTTTAGTGAACAATGAATAGTCAGCTTTGGATTGTTGAAAACCGGCAGAAATGATGGCACTAGTGAATTTGGCAAACCATTGGCGAGAAGCCTGCTTAAGACCATAAAGTGACTTGTGAAGGCGACACACAAGATTCTCCCCCTGTCGCCGAAGACCAGGAGGAGGAGACATATAGATTTCTTCATGTAAGTCACCATGTAAGAAAGCATTATTAACATCAAGCTGATGAAGAGACCAAGACTGACTAGCAGCAAGAGCAAGAAGACAACGCACTGTAATCATCTTAGCAGTAGGAGAAAAAGTGTCATGATAATCAATACCTTCAGCCTGAGTGAAGCCTTTAGCAACCAAACGAGCTTTGTAGCGGTCAATAGAGCCGTCGGAATTGTGCTTGAGTTTGTACACCCACTTACAACCAATGGGAATTTTGCCAGGGGGCAAGGAAGTTAAAGTCCAAGTACCATTAGCATGTAAAGCTTGAAGCTCCTCAGTCATAGCACGTTGCCAATTGGGGTCAGTGGCAGCCTCGGCAAAGGAGGAAGGCTCCACAATCCGACTGACAGAGTTAATGTAAGAAAAATGCCTGGGAGAGTAACGGTGATAAGAGAGAAAATTACAAAGTGGATATCGCGTACCTTGTGTAGAACCGGGTTGCGAAGTCGAAGATGGGTGGGATGGCAGAATCACCTGCGAGCAAACGTAGTCTTTTAAATAGGATGGAGGTTTATGGGCACGGGAAGAGGTGCGGGGAAGGGGAGGATTGGTAGGTAGTGGGGGGGTAGGGATGTCCGTGGGTAAAAGGGTGAAAGGTAAGGAAGTAGCCGGGGGGGGGGGGGGGGAAGGAGGGGATGCCGAGAGGGCAGGGGCATGGGGAGGAACGGGTAATGGGGCAGCAAGGGAATCTGTGGGAGGCGTGGAAGGAGAGGAAGGTGGAGGAGGGTGAGGCGTCGGGGCAGGAAGGGGTGGGTTATATGTAAAGTCCAGAGGGGGTGGGATGGGTAGGGTAGGCGAAGAGGATGGGATAGGAGGGTGAGAAACGGCATAAGGGAAAGTACTTTCGTGAAAGATGACGTCTCGACTAGTGAAAATGCGGTGATTGTCGAGATCGTAAAGGGTATAGGCCTTTTGTCCATGAGGATAACCGAGAAAAATGCAACGATGAGCCCGAGGGGAAAATTTGGTGGTGGGAGTGACAGAGGTGGCATATGCCAGACAACCAAAGACGCGGAAGTGGTCATAAGATGGGGTTTTCGAAAAGAGAACCTCAAATGGGGATTTATGATGGAGAAGACGGGTAGGGAGACGATTGATGAGATAAGTAGCGGTAAGAACACATTCCCCCCAAAACTTGATAGGAAAATGGGATTGAAAACGAAGGGCGTGAGCGGTTTCAAGAAGATGACGATGTTTTCTTTCAACAACGCCATTTTGTTGGGGGGTATAAACACAAGAAGTTTGTAAAAGCACCCCATGATCAGAGAAAAAACTACGAAGAGATAAAAATTCACCACCATTGTCAGTACGAATGCATTGGATGGTAGTGCGGAATTGGGTAGTGACATAAGCAAAAAAATCCTTAATTAATTGTTGAGTGTCGGATTTATGTTTCATGAGGAAGACCCACGTAAAGCGAGAAAAATCATCCACAATGGTTAAGAAATAATTAGCACCAGAAAGAGAAGATTGACGATTCGGGCCCCAAATATCACAATGAATTAAAGCAAAAGGGAAAGTTGATGAAATTGAACTCAAAGGAAAAGGTTGACGAGTTTGTTTTGCCAACGGACAAACATCACAAATATGACTAGAATCAAAAGTGCAATTAAGAGAGCTAGATGCTAAAGCTTGCAAACGAGTGGAGGAGGGGTGACCAAGACGCCTATGCCAGAGGGAGGAGGGGATGGTAATGATGTTGCAGAGAGGTTGACGGGTGGGGAGAGAAGAGGTAAGGGCCACAAGGTAATACAGATCGCCACGTCGCTTACCCACACTAATCATCGCCTTCGAAACCAAGTCCTGCAAAACACACCAAAAAGGAAAGAAGGTTATGAAACACGATAATCCATCTGTAAGTTTACCAACCGATAAAAGGTCCACTCGGAAATTAGGGACACATAAAATATCCTTCAAAGTAACTAAGGAATTTAAAGGAAGAGTGCCGGTAAAAGTAATGCGAGCGGAAGCACCACTAGGCAAAGAAACAGGCGGCAAATGTGAAGGAGAACGATTAACCAAACATGAAGCGGAAGAAGTAATATGATCCGTAGCACCACTGTCAAGAATCCATTGACCATGACGAGAGGTGACAGGTAACAAACCTTGGGCAAAATCAGTAGTGAGCACGGCATTGGCCTGAGGAGGGGTGGTGGTGTCACGTAGAGCAGCTAGAACACGGGAGTGCTGCTCGGCAGAGAGGTCAGGCATGGCAAGCTGCAAGTCATGCAAAGTGGGCTGGGTCCCGTGCACTTGGTGGGTCGCTGGAGTAGAAGAGGAGGCGGGGGCCTGGGTGCCTTGCACGTGATGGGCCTGGATGAAATTATGGGGCCGGGAAGCAGAAAACCGTGGCTGCTGGGGAGGACTAGAAGGTGCATGGCTGCGGGAAGAACTGGAAGCAGTGGCACGGCGCGGTGGTCGCCACGGTTGGCCATGGAGGGGATGGCCAATGGGATAGCCATGAAGTTTATGGCAGGTGTCTCGGGTATGATAATCAAAATTGCAGTAGGTGCAGTGGAGGGGAGGACGAGCAGAGGAGGGACGAGACGGGCCACGAACAGCCATGGCAGCAGGTTGATCGACAGAGCGGAGGACGCCCAGGGAGCGTTGTTTTTCAGCTTGAGACACCGAGGAACAGGCCTGACGAACAATGGGGAGGGGATTCATTAAAAGAATCTGGTCACGAACAGCAGCAAAGGATTCGTTGAGGCCCATTAAAAATTGCATGAGTTGTTGACGGTCATGCTTGGCGTTGCAAGAGCACGTGCAGCCATCATTATAAGAAACAAGCTCATCCCAGAGAGCTTTCAGGCGAGTAAAATAGGCGGAGATAGAAGAAGAACCTTGAGAAATTGTAGCAAGTTCCCGGTTGAGTTGGAAGATGCGTGGAGCATTACTCTGAGAGAAGCGTTCGCGAAGATCATCCCATACAGCTTGGACAGAGGTGGAAAAAAGCACAGATTCTTGAAGGTCAGGTTCCAAGGAATGCAGAAGCCAAGAGAGAATCATGTCATTGCAACGACGCCAAGCCGCGTGAGCATCAGGGTCGTCGGAGGAAGAAGGTTCTTGGATATCGCCAGTGATGAAACCAAGTTTATTCTTGGCACTCAAGGAAAGCTGCATGCCACGGGCCCAGGATGTGTAGTTATCACCATTCAACTTCTTGGATACAAGGACAAGATTCGGGTGGTCGGAATGATGAAGGGAAAAAACACTATCGGAAGAAGAAGAGTCAGCCATGGGAACGGCAGAGAAAGCTGCCGAAAAAAAAATTAGGGCTAGGGTTATAAACCTGCTCTGTATACCATGTAGAAAAAGGTATGTAGGCTAAAAATATATTTGTTATTGATACATGAATGTGGAAAAATGGAAGAGAATGCAAATAGAAGAGAATGCAAATTTTTTCATTGTCTTTCTCTACAAGATTACAAGGATATATATACATGATACAAATGTGTAGGTAGGACAAGGTAGCCGTCTTAGTGTGTAGGTAGGACAAGGTAGCCGTCTTAGTGTGTAGGTAGGACAAGGTAGGACGGCTGTAGAGGACAAGGTAGCCGTCCTAGTGTGTAGGTAGGACAAGGTAGGACGGCTATAGGACGGCTTGACGGCTGTAGGACGGCTAGTGTGTAGGTAGGACAAGGTAGGACGACTGTAGGACGGCTTGACGGCTGTAGGACGGCTTATTCTTCCAATAATAATATTATATACAATTACACAAGGACTCCAACCATATTCCTTATTTGTCTAACAATAACTGGTCTTGCTATGAACGGGGACTCTGTTGGAGCACTGGAAATGTTTTCACAAATGGAAGCGTCAGAGTGATGTGAGGCCAAACGAGGTCACATTCCTCGGTGTGTTGTCTGCATGCAGTCATGGCGGGTTTGTGGATAAAGGTTTTCACTATTTCAGAGCCATTGCTGAAATTTATAAGCTCAATCCTCGTATCGAACACTACGGATGCATGGTGGATCTTCTTGGTCGTGCTAATCTGTTAAACGAGGCTGAAAAGTTCATCAGAGATATGCCTATTCAACCCGATGTGGTTATATGGAGATCTCTGCTTTTCGCATGTAGGACTTATGGGGACGTAGATTCGGGAGAGTCTGTTGCCAAAAGGATTGAGGAATTGGAGCCAAGAAAGTTTGCATCGCGTGTTTTGTTGTCGAATCTATATGCTTCAGCATCAAGGTGGCATGATGTGAGCAGGATGAGGAAGGGTGTGGCTCTTCAGGGTGCCCAGAAGCAGCCGGGTTGCTCTCTTATAGAAGTAGACGGTCTCGCTCACGAATTCATTGTTGCAGATTGTTCGCATTGTCAAATTGATTCTGTATACGAAAACTATAAGGGTGGGTTTGTATTGGCGAGATCCAACGGTGAACAGCTGCCCAAAATAAAAACCGTCTGGAAGTCCGAGGACCTTTCTATTATTTTTGCATTCTCCTGTTGGTCCCTATTATTCTTATTCTTTCCGTTACTCATGATAGAGAAAAAAAAGAATCTCTTTTACGATCACAATCCATAATACTTTGTTAACATTAAACACTATTTGAAATATAATTCTTTGTTGTACATCACACCAAACACTATTTTACACTATTTTACGATTCTACGATTCTCGTTGTCTGCCAGTCACGTGGACAGATCAAGTCTTGTCCACGTCTTAGTAAAGTTGCAGTACATTTGTAACTTGTAAGATTACAATACCTAGTATATACATTGTTAGAAGTTACAGCAACAAACCATCATCCGTCACTATAAAGCCATAAGCTAAAAAGATAAATACAAGAAATTCACGCAAGTGAAAAACCCGAGAGTGGAAAAAAGAAAAAAAGAAGTGGAGAACTAATTAAGCTTCGGGTTGGGCACGGATAGGGTCTACTCCGACGTCCTTGAGAGTCACGGTTTTTGAACGGGGCGGTTTGGGTTTGTGAGCGAAAACATCTTTCCGGATCGGATCCTTAACGGCGTGATTGTAGTCGTCGAACTCCTGGACATGCGCCACCTTCCTGAAAAACGAATTTTGAATGAACTTGTCAGACTCCTCCACCACGCGCTCCGGCTCCACCACCTCCGGCAGCGTCTCTCTCCGGTTCTTCTTCACGTAGACGTGGGGGTTGTACCTCAGGTGCTGCTTGGCGGTGTGGAGCCCCAGCGCCACCGACAGCGCTATCATCCCGACAGCCACGTAGACCGGCACAAAGTCGCCCCTCATGAACCTTTTGAAGTAGCTCTGTTGGGGATTTTCGGTGGCACCGGCAGCCGGGGCGTAGGGTTTCATCTTCGGAGAGGTCGCGGTGGCGTATCGGCGTAAGCCGGTCGACATTTGTTTCCAGTGGTACTGTAGCATTTGATGCACTTATATTAAATCGCAAATAAATCCTAAGAAAACAAAAACAAAAACAAAAGGTAAAGAGAAAAAGAAGAAGATTTTACCATTGATCTGAAAGCCATGATCTTATGCAGAAACCAGATAAACGAAGTTTCAGTTTATCTTACTAATTTGCAGTATGCGATTTTTTTACCTGAACTAACTGCTGCTGGATATTACTTATAGAGTCAGATGGATACTGAGAAGGGTAGAGAGTTCTGGAGCCACGGAAAGCAATACAGAAGCAAATGGGACACGTGTCGAATTATAAAGTGCACAGTGTCAGAAGAACCCTCCTGAACCTGGCACCTCAATCTTTCTTGTACTTTACTGAAACAAAACTTACCAAACAAAGAATTAGGATTTTCGTCCGACCCTCGCGATTTCAGGAATTCGTAAATCGTGTTCGTTCAATATGTATCATACATTTAAAAATTATTTTAAATATTTTTATTTAGAATTAAAAATAAACAGTATTTAATAAAAATTAATCAAACAATGTATGATAAACATACATAATTTACAGATCTTTAAGATCATCACTAAAAAAATCTAAAGAGAATCCTGCTGGCTAAATAAATATCATTTACTTTTACTCGACATTAAAAACTTAATTACCTACGAACGGTGTTACTGCGGCTACTGTTAAGTCAATGAGCTACCGTGAGACGAATTCCAAACTAATCTTATCATTAACTTGAGATATATTATAGTAATAGTCACAATTGACTTCGGATATTCTAAAACAATATTCATGTGATATTAAAATTAGTATCTTATGTGAATTAGGCATTGTTAGTGGTGCACCATAAACTGATTATACATTGTCATTGACTTGAGATAGCTACAATGACATTCATATTGTATGAAAGTTTGAATCTTACGTTAATCAAATGTCATTAGTGCATCTTTAACCAATCACATATTGTTATTAGTTTGAAATATGCTACAATAACATTCTCGTTATATGAAAGTAACCAATCACATATTGTTATTAGTTTGAGAATTGCTACAATAACATTTCCGTTATATAAAAGTTAATATCTAAGTGAATTAGGCAATAACAGCGACGATTTTCGAACCAATCACACACTGTCATTAGCTAGAGATACGCTGCATTGACATCCTACAACATAGAAGTTCTTTCTCACGAACCCAAAATTCAACTTCTGTTTAAGATTGTAAGAAAATTAAAAATATGATTTACTAAAAAACAAAGATTGGTTACCGTAGCATGCTTCGAACTGATCTTTTTGAAGTCCATTCAAAACCAAATTATAGCTTCTGTCTTAGGATGCAAGCAATCCCCTGCAAAGAACTCATGAGTGAATCCATCCAATCGACTTTCTAACATCTTTTATCGACTTTCTAACATTCACAATATGGTCCCATTTTTCTGCAGTTGCATAGACATTGGCCAGGACTGAACACACTCCTCATCTTCACGGTCCAACTCCGTCACTTGCTCCGCCGCTTTCTTCGCCGTTTCAACATGGCCATGGATTCTGCAGCCGCCAAGCAAACCATCCCATCCAAACACAACGCCCCCCATCGGCATCTTCACGATCATCTCCATTGCTTCTTTGATCAAACCTGCTCTCCAAGCAGATTAGCCATGCATGCACCCTTAATGCTTGAGCTCTCGAGGGACCCCGTAGACTGATTCCATTTGTTGAAGGGGAAGGTTGACGGGTGGATGCGGTTGAAGAGAGCGACGGCATAGCTGAGGGAGGCGGTTGCAGAGGCGGAGAAGGGTGGGAGGAGCGAGATGAAGGCATGGGGATGATGAAATCTGGAGGAGAGAGGAGTTGTTGATGGTGTGGGAATGGAGTTGGATGAGCTGCTTTGGGGTTTTGCAGTGTTTGATTGCGGCAGCGATGGTGATGGAACTGGCGGCGTTCATTCACTTCGATTTGCTCTGACTGTCATTATGTTTTCAGAAATCAAAAGGATCGAAGAACAAAAAGAAGGATATGGCGGTAAATTAAGGAGGAGCTATTGAAAGAAAAATGAAATATTGATTTTTATAAATAAAAAGAAAAAGGAAACCGTGGACGGCAGGATTCGAACCTGCGCGGGCAGAGCCCACATGATTTCTAGTCATGCCCGATAACCACTCCGGCACGTCCACCTTATTTGTAAGCTTGAATGCAAAAATAGGTAATATCCTTTGATTGACAATAATCTTTTCTTACCTATTTTGGGGCAAATTATACGACAACAAAACTATCTCCGGCACCAAAGTGAAGAAGAAGGCCGGATCTTCAAATGGAGTTCACAATCTTGGGCCTAGGTCCAGTCCAATCTAACCCGAACCAACTCAATGGACATTGGAAAATGGCGTTTACAATTTTGTTTTTTGGGAACCGAGCAGCCACCACCAAGGCCGCGAAAATCGGGTTTAGGGCTAAACAATTTTTTATTTATTTGCAAAATGATTACTCTACGTATATTGAGTACCAAGAGAACAAAATGTTATTTCGTTGAAAGAAACTTAAGTTTATTGGGATTGTTACTTCGTTGAGAGAAACTTACGTTTATTGGAATTTTCATTTTGTAATATTTTAAGCTAATTATCACACATCTAACTTTTTCACGTATCAGTGAGCGATTGATTTGAAATACCGTTACAGTGACATTCTCGTTTCATGCAAGTTTTTCTCCTATAATAATAATCTAAGTAATGAATATTGACACTCCAAACTCTGATTGTGCATTCCTCATGAGTGTATTTTTCTTTTTAAATATTGAAAATTTGTAATGCACAATTAGATTCTTGAAGTATCAATAACAATTTCGGTGCGTCTTCTTCTAAATTTGCATTTGCTATGTGACTTCAAATTGAAGGGAATTGGTGGGTTCCAATAGGCATATCTTAAATGATGCACAACATGAGCTCATGCATTGCTATGTGAAATTTTTTTAGGGTTTTTTATTACTTAAAAGACAAAGGCTTACACAATTACACTTTGGAATTAAAGAATAAATCAAATGTCTTCAATTATTGCACATAGAACAAATATAGCAAACACTAATCTATAAAGGAGTCTAATTAGTGACTAAAGCAAATCCAAACCCTAGTTGTTCCCTATTGCTTGTCACACCAGGTCACTAGGTTTTCCTTATCTATAAGAGAGAGGAGAAAATTTTCATTTATTCAGAATACAGATGGTACATTACGTATTATTATAGAAGTGGAGAAAAGTTTTATTTTTAAGTTGTTAATTTTTTAATACAAGTATCTTACAACTTGTATAATGACATATGATGTACCACCTTGTGTCTCGGATACACTGAAAAATCTCGAGTAAAAAAGAGAGATTAGCTTTGGATTATTGTTAGGTTAGTGACATAATCAACAGTTTATTCCACATTTTGGGTCTCCCACTAAGTGGATTAGTGGCTTCGTACACAGATTCTCACAGACGGACGGTGCAAATCCACTCCCGTAAAGAGGAGACCGGTTCTATTTCAAAATTCCCCTCTTGGACTCGACTCCAAAAGATCCATCCACGTGGCAGTATGTTAACTCATCTTTCCACCCATTAGTTTGATTAATAATAATAAACGAACCCCCACTTGTTTTACCAAATAGAGAAACTTAGATTTCGTGGAGTTTGATGATATTAAATGTTAGCGATAACGTATTTGTTAGAGTGAGCGACTGATAATTTAACTGATCAGCCTGCTTTATTTAAGTTTTTCTTTCTTTCATAAAATGTTAAAAATAAACAAAATTTAAAGTGTTTAAATTAAAAATTAACTACCGACGTATCATTTAACGAATAAAAAACTCGTTTTTTATTATGAGCCATATTTCAAATGTTGTGATTGATGGAAAGCAGAGAAAGAGTGATAATATTCTAAGAAAAAGATAAGCACACTTACCCCAATTAGAGATTAATAATGCTAATGGGGACCATTAGAGTTGTGATTCTTTCCTTCGTCTTCGTTGTTCGTCTTTTTCTCTTTATGATATGAAAAAAGAATTTTTTTAGTCAATATGGTTTTTAAAATAGACATAACTCTTTATTTTAAATTTTTAACATTGAAAATCGCTATGAGTGGTTCTTGAGTTTGTGTACCATAAATCATTTTGATCATTCCATGAATAATTTGTCAATGTCTTCATTAAACTATCACATGACCACCTTTTAAAGAATATTTTTGTTAAACCAACATTTCCACTTAATAAGGATATTTATAGATTTTTCACGGAATGACCAAAATGATTTATGGTTGACAAACTCAAGGATCACTTCTATCAGTTTTCGTTGTTACGAATCAAAATGAAGAATTATGTCAATCTCATGAACCATTTTGGCTGAACAATCTTTAAAAAATTATGGATGCCACCAGCAACCCACCTAGTTCGTTGAAAGGTTCATAGAATTATATATACACTTGTAGATGCATATAATAACATCCCACTTTCATTGTAAACCATCTAAGAAGCCCCCTCTCTCACTCTCTCACACTCTCTCTCTCTTTCTCTCTGTGGCTAAAGCACACGCAAAAATGTGGAGGAAGAAGAGGAAGAAGAGGAAGAAGATGATGAAGAATGTGAGTAGAACTTCTTCTACATGCTTGGTCAATCCCACCCTCTTCCTCCCTTGATGGGATGTGAAGGGACAAAAGGCAAGTCAAAAAGGCAAAGGGGAGGCAAAGCCTTTCTTCCGGGTTTGTAATCGGCTAGCGATTTTGGCACAGATTCTGTAGCCTCCTGCGCTCCTCTCTTCAGTAAAGAGATAAATAATGACATATTTTCGGTTTGGAGTGCAGATGGCTAAAAGAAAAGTGTCAAAATCTTTATGTTTTTATTTTTCTCACATGTTGAACTCTTTATGTAATAGGATCTTTATGTAATAGTAGAGTAAAGAAGCATGCCAAGTTATTTTGAATGTGTATGTTCAAAATGTTTGGCTGCTTCTTCCCTTCAGTTGTGGTCTTTGTTATGTACATGGCCCAGATTCTTGCCAATAGCTACCAAAAAGAAGCAATTCTGTGCCTGTTTTGATGGTCTATGTGGATCTGTTTGTTCTTCCCACTTAATTTCTAATAGCTTTTCAACATTGCAGTAGTGCAGTTCAAAATATCAATTTGGAAAGAATTACTACACTTTAAGCTTGTTATAAGGATTAAATAAAAAACAAAACTATCGAAAAGTTCTCAAAAACTTTAGTTTAAATAAAAATGATAAAACAAAGGTGAAGTGAATACTACTTGGAGTGACTTTTCAAGGTAAATATGTCATTTTCGTTAAAGTAAACAGTACCAAAAGTGTTTCATTAAGATTTAAAAAAAAAACTCATATTTGCATTTTGTTCTTTATCTTTGATCAGTTCAACGGTAGAAACTTCTTTGCATCTGAGATGTCATGTATGTGGTGTTCCAAATATTCAATCATACAAACAACGGATGTAAGATTGTTAATATAACCCTTTATCACCACATCTGTAGATACGAACCTCCCACACACACACTCATCCTGCACTACTACTTCTCAACCAAATATGTCTATTTCTTCAACACGAAATAAAAAAATTGTATTGTTAGTTTTCAAACATATTAGGTTAGTAACTTATTTTTTTTGCTTTTGGGTTTGTTCCTTATTTTATTTTGGTTGCATGTTAATTTAACTTGGTATGAATGATTGTTATTTCAATTTGTATGAAATTTGGGAATACCAAAACCATCCCGAAATACTAAAAATATTTTGAGAATCCCGAAAATTGGGAATACCCAAATTTCGATTTGGGATTGATCTTCAAAATTTCGTCCCAAAATTTTTTGGTTTGGGATTTGGGATCCCATACCAAACCCCCCTATATAAGAGCTTTTCGCTTTCCTATGTGTTGCTTCTGCACATAATCTTACAACCACCTAACGCTAATTATGTGCTGCTGCTGCTGGTAATTACAAATTAGCAATGCCAGTTTGCACAACTCCCTGGGCGCAATAAACAACCAGTTGGAACTGGAAATGCAAGCAACTGTATATTGATCACTGGCGATTGAGGTTTTGACAATTCAGACATAGTGCATTGGAAGAGATGGGGAAGGGAATAGGAGGGGAATAGGAGGGGAGAAAATTTTATCCCATTGTTGTCAATCGCCAAACATGTATATTAATGTTTACACACTAAAATGCAACTACCTAAGGCTCATTCCAACTCTTGGGTTAGAACCTAAAATTTAGGTTTTAAACGTCCCCCAACTTTCTTCAACTCCACCCTTGGCCAAAAATCAGTTTTGGATTAAAACTGATTTTTGGGGCAAATTTAAAACAAGAAACCGGACTGGGTTAAAATCCTAACCCACTATGCGCATAGGTGCATTGAGAAAAAGGAGAAAGTGCGGAGAATTGACGCGCTAAAAGCAAGGAAATGTGCCAAACGCAAGGAAAAGGGGACAACGTTGAGGAGAAGTGGGGCCCAACCTAATGGGGTTATCGGCCACCCATGTGCAATCCCAATTGCTTTATTTGATCGGGCAACATAGATTATTGAAACATTGATTGATTCAACAATCCAGAATCAAAAGTATTTAAACTTAAATTTTCAATTTATAAATACATTAAATTTAACGGGTAAAATCAAATATGATCAAATCTAACAATAAAAAAAAAAAAAATCCCACGATTCGAAATTAAATCAACGGCTAAGTGCAACGCTTTGTTTCGAGAAAAGGGTGAGTTTAGTGATTTTTCAATATTTATCGAAACCTAAATATTTTTAGGTTAAAATGCTCATAAAATTAAATTAGAACAGTCTACATAATATGTATTTTTTAAAATTTAGCCTAAATTCATTCTTTAATAATTTCGGACAAAAAATTAACCCAGAAAGGTTGAAGCAAAAAAAAAAAGTTTCGGAATTAAAAATTTTAAATTTTAACCAAAGCGTTAAAGATGGTCTAAATATCATACAAGGCCAAAGCAAGCAACCAAGAAATTCAGTTACACACTAGAGCATATCCAGCTCAGGATATGATAGCAACAAGAGAAGAAGATGAAGTTACGAAACGACGGGACAATACTCATTGTAATGTTCACCACATATGGATTTAGTTCAGAGAATAGCATCAAGTTCCGCTCAAATCTTGCTGTAAAAGAGAGAGATAGTCTTAAGAAACACAGAAAAAGGAACAAGATAATACCTGTCACGTTTGCCATCAAATTCCGAATGGGCCAGTAACCTTGTTTCTCAATAGCAAGTTATGATAAATCCGGGAAAAAATACTTTCCGCCTACAAAATTGAAAATCCTGCGCCCCCGTATCCTGAAGGGGGGCACCATCTGTCATATAACAATCGTATCCTCAACTTAACTAGTAATCTCATTTTCTTTCTCTTCACCGTCAACTCCGTTACAATTTCTAACTACAAAGATTAATGTAGTTACCGACTCGCTACAGATCTAGTTTCTTTTTCATGGCTTCGTATACCATATATGTAATGCTTGCAGCTGGAACAACTTTGAGAAGATTTGGAAACAATCCCTTGTAGAAACCTCTAACGCCTTCGTGCTGAAGGGTTCTCCAGAATACATCTGACATTCCTTTATATGCAGTAGCTGTATTAGAACGTTGAGCTTGCAATCTGGAAAGAAATAATATATTAAAACCAAAAGCAAATTCACCGGGTATAGAAAACCTAAGATTAAGTGAAGAAAATCAAGTAGTTTGGATGTGCCCTCTTCACTAAAAATAAATAACCAGTAGTGGAAGACTTCAGCCATGAAATTGTACCTGGTTCGGATAACCTGCAAAGGATAAACACATGTTGCTCCTAGAGCTCCCGATATTGTCCCACATCCCAGCTGAATGAGAGGACCAGGTTCTGGAAAAAAGTAAGATTTAAAAGGCAATTCACCAAACAGTACAAAAAAATGTTATCAAGATGCAAAAGATAAAGAAAGGAAAGAAAAAACAGAAAACCAGAGAAACTGTACCGCTATTATCATGAAGAAAATATGTCTTCGACATATCTTTTAAGGCCTCATAGGCAGCGAGGTCTATACCAGTATAGGGGACAATCCCAAGAAGAGACGGAAGCAGACCTCTATAGAAGGCCCGAGGTCCCTCATGAATCCATATTTCCCTAGTTAATGTCCCCAACTGAGGACTCTTTCCAGCTTCTGAAGTACAAGTTTGTAACCGAGTTTTCACAAGATCCAACGGATAGATAGAAGTTTGTGCCACTGCACCTGCCATACCACCGGCCAAAAGTCTACCAGCAGTACCAATATCTCCCTCGTCGGCCCCCATATTGTCTCCAATGACCTTCTTTAACATTTCATAAGTATAGAACTTGATGGCACTTTCAGGTGCTACCTTCACAACATTTATTCCATTACCTCTGAAAAACCCCAGGATGCCATCTTCCTTCAATATCTTCTCTATAGCTGGCACCACAGAAGCACGTGATGTCTGAACTTGCAAAACCACTTTCAAGCGATCAAGAGGAGCAGTAGCAGTACGAGAAGCGGCTCCAGCTATAGCACCTGCAATAAAGTATCTGCTCCTATGAACATGCTTACCAATTCCTTCTGGAATAACAGCCTGCTCACCAATATCCACAAGGCACACCCTTTCCCAGTGGTGATATATGTTCTCAATCGTTGCTTCATGTGGATACAGTAGAAGAAAATCTCTCCATTCTTCAAACGTTATAATACCATTGTTATCCTTATCAACATGCTCTACGAACCGGGCAAGTTCCTTATCATCCATTTCAATCCCTACAAGTTAAAAACTGCCACGACTTATAAGGTGAAAAATAAAAAATCCTCCCACTTAAATCTACAGAAATGGAAACCCTACCACTTTCGTTCCCTTCTAAACAGTTTCAGAAATTATATTACAGTTATAACTATGCATTCTCAATGCAGAACACAAAAGTAAAAATGCTCCCTGGTGAAAACCATACTACAGTCAGAGCAATACTATAAACAATGCCCCAAAGAATGATACCAATGCTCTACAATCTACAGAAGGAAGTATAAACTAGCATGTAAAAGTTAACGAATTTTCACAATTTCAAAACAAAAGAAAGTAAAGTTGGGGCATACCAGCCTTGACAAGGGCATCCCATAGCTCCTCAGGCAGAATGCAGCCATTGTGCTCAACATCAATGGCCTGAAAAATGCGGTAGAGCTCGAGCTCCTTGTCATCCATGTACCGCCGGAACTCGAGATAATCGACCCTTCCATCTCTGTTGGCATCACAGACCTTCAGAAGATCCTTGGCGTACTTGTATTCCGGAGGAATCTGAAGGGCCGACAATCCGGCCTCGATCTGAGAATAATCCAAATACCCAAGATTTTTAGCATCGAAGAAATTGAAAAGGCTTCGAATTCGGACTTCCCTGTCCTCCTTGGTCTCCCGTAACGCTAGAAGAACGTGATCCATCGAAATGGGTCCGGTTTTCTTGACCGGATTGCAGCATCCGTCGGCTCTGGCGGTGGCAGAGGCGGTGGACTTGTTCGCATCCACGTTGGGGAAGCCGACATGCTCTGCCGCGGCCGGCTTTGCCCCTGACATAAAAACCCACTTCGTCTTTCCCCTTCTTCTTCTTCCTCAATGTTCTTCGAGCTTCTTCAACGGCGGATCAAATCGATCACAACCACAATTAAGTTACGAGATTTGCGAATTTTGGGCAAATGGGTTGGTGGACTTTTGGGTGTTCGATCATAAATTCATGATAAATTCTTCAGCCATCGCCATTCAGCAAAGATAAAAACAGGACAAAGGAAATGAGGGTTGGGGGAGATGGGACCTCAACTTCTTCTTCAATCTGAGAAATTGGGTGGATTGGATTTAATGGTAGTTAAGGAGCGGACCGGTAACACAGATTATAACAGCCGAGTGGGCATATATATATAAATACTATCTGCAGTATATAAATACGACGGAGGAGTTGAAGATCGTCTGATATGAGCCTGACGGTGAAGGAGAAGGATCGCTCAGGAACGGAAGTGGATATTCTTCCTCGTGTTTGGTCGCCTTTCGCTCCTCCACTTTCTTGCGTTTTTCCTTTAATAATTTCTCTTATTTTACTTTTTATTTTTCGTTTTATAAAATTTAATGAGACGTTGATGATAAATTTGGATTCAATCAACCCTAAATTAACTCGAATTTTAATTTGATCGCGCAGGTAAAATTGTAGAAATTCATACAAATTAAAACAAATTCCAACTCGACTGTTTTCTTAGTTACATTAGGTTGAGACATGATTCATCAACTTGAATGTTAATACATTTAGATAAATATATACACATTCAAATCAATTTTCAAGCAAACAAGAACAACGAGCCCACATTTTTCGGCCTACTATGGAAGGCCTTACATCCATACGTCATTCTATTCTAGTATTTCATAATATCACATTACGGTAAATGAACAAACAAATGTTGTATATAAGATTCCAACTCACGACATTTTTCATAAATTAGAAATTGAGTGTCGCTAAACCAAATAGCCACATACACGAGCAAAATTGTTAAAAGTAAATTTTCGTAGCAAAAATAGGGAGTCTTGATCTGATGACCTGCTTCCAAACCCATATACTTTGCAAACTACTCCTACATCCATCATACCACAGTACACGCACAAAAGGTTGGAATGCTTTTTATTTGGAACATACTGAATTGGGTTTCAAAAGTTGACCACATTTAACAAAACACTTGGAAGAAAAAGCTCAAATAATTGCTCAACCAAAAGGTACGCTGGCTTTGTTATATCTGCATATCACTGCATTAACACTGAGTGAGAAGTAGGATCAAGACACTCTACATAATTCATATGTAAAAGTTCACACCAAAACCAATCTATAGCCATCGCCAACCTCTTCCTCATTGGCGTTGGTGAAGGACGCGGGAACCTTTAGCTTATACGACTCAGAAATCTGCAGGAACAAAACCACGTCAGTACTCGGTTGATTAAGGAAGTTGATTTTTGGTGAAAAACAACCCGGATGCGTTATTTAGATTCATCAACCTTAATGTTCATTGGTATATTGCTCAAAGTGTAGTGTCCAAGCTAAGCGCAGCGGACTTTGGAAGGTAGTCTGCAACCAAAATGTGGAAGAGATCCATAACTCCTGTGTGTGTCTGGGCGCTGCTGTAATTAGATACTAGAGTCAGAGTCTCCCCATCATTTATTTTGACTGAGCCGGGTTGAGGATAACAAGTCGACATTCCTACAATATAACCAGCCTCATCTCCAGCTTCCTTCCCTTTTCCATAAATTGGTATTGACGAACACAGAACCCGTCCATCCTAAAATAATCACAAACAAGCACATTACTTAGAGATCACAATGCAGTGATTAAAGCTAAATCCTACATACAATATGGTCACGGACTTGGAAATGCAAGGTGCAAATTGTTGCAGTCTAGTTGCAGATAATTTTAAGGCTACCAGGAATTATCAAAGGTTTTTGAGTTCTACCATATGCCGAAAGAGATTATTTTAAGGCTAGCAGAAACCAAATTGATAACAGTAGAAGAAGAAATCACGTCTCCATATAGAGTTGAACCGATTCCCCCTGTGTGCTGATGAGCTACACCATAGACGACATAAACACCGGTCGGCATAGTAGTCATTGATGATTGGCTGTCTGATAGGATACTGCTAAGTGGCTTAATAAGATGATGACATGTGTATATGGTTGTTAGTAGTTAGAAGATAAATAGCAGGTTGTAGCAATTGGAAAGGCAGTTAATGAAATTGTATTGTTGTTCTCATGTTCTATTACCTATCTCTCTGTGCAATTGTGGGAGATGTAGAGTAGGGTTCTAACAATTGGTATCGAGCCAGTCATTCATCCCCTCAATCCTTCCTTTTGTATAAAGCGGCAAGCATCGCGAAGAACCATGGAGTCAAGGGTTTCGACCTGGAATCCAAGATCGATGAATTCCAGGCTACACAGAAGGAACTCAAGTCAACACAGAATTTGATTCTTCATCAGCTTCAAGCACGAGATTTGATCCTTCATCAACTTCAATCCTTTATGGCATGCTGCAATGGTGGTTCGAAATATGGTGGTGAATCTTCTGCAGCTACACCGACGCATCAGACGTTCATCAAAATGGCATCTCCTATCTTTCTAGTGAAATCGAATCAAGTTGTTCTCAAGCTTCAATCTTTCCACGAGGAAAATATTCAAGCCCAAGAGAAAGTAGATGAATTATGGTCTCAGTTTCGTCCAAAATACAAGCCCAAAAGTCCTCCTTGTTTACGACCAACATTGAAGAAATTCAAGAGGGTTCGCAACAAACATCACAATGGCAAGCAACGTGAAGCCTTTGTACGAATTCTTGGCTTCCAATCTTTGCCACCAGCAACAAGGCTACTTCTTGATTCTACTTGCATTCTGGGTTCTGCATTCTTTGTATCTAATGTGCAAAAGTTGAATTGCACAGATCATGGATACGAAAGGGTTGGTTCTCTCAAAGAAAGATTCAAGTCTCCTGATTTTTCTATATCTGATGGAATTCTTATAGATTTTTCGATCCATTTCGACGTGGGTTTCATTCTTGATGTGAAACAGATGTTAATTCCAGCAGAAGTACTTGGCATTCACTTGGGCTCCAACGTGTTCGATGAATTGCGGCACTCAACACGTATTGGTGTTCTTCAGTTAGGCTATCATATGCCGATTTCTGACTCGGAAGCAAACATTCAAAATTGTTCTTTGAAGCTTGGTTTCCATGAATTCACTCGTGACAAAAGAAGAACAAATATTCCAAGGCTCTTTCATTCGAAATCAGCGACTGTTCTTGAATCTAATTGTTAGAATGGCAAATCCCAAGTTTTTATTTTGGAAATTCATGTTTCCAATGTTGGTTTTAAGAAAACTGAATTGTCTAGTTCCCGTGCATTCTGCCTATTCGACAAAATGTCGAACTCAAGTTACATTCTTGATATTAAACTTGGTTACCATATGAGCATTCGTGATAAAGGTGGTGCCAAATTTCTCTCTAGTTTTGAGTCAATGGATTTATTGGCAAGCTGTGAGGACTCAGGTTTCTGTGTTGTTATCAATTGTTCCATGGGCTACTACTGCAAAGGAATTCGTGACAAGGGTGGAACAAATAGGTAGAGGCTCTTCAACTTGAAGTCCAAGAATAAAGATTGTGTTCTGGGTTTTGATTGTTCCAAGGTGATCAAATGTGAGGTGAGTTTTGATTCTTCCATGATCATTGATAAGGAGGATGCTAGTAATTTGGGATTGCATCATTTAGAAACTTGTATGGACAAGAATAGAAAACATGAAAGAAACTTCACTCTCTCCAGATTTGGAAATCGTTGCTGTGTTGTTTGTTGTGTTGTTCTTGATCGTGACTACTGCAAGGGCATTCCCAATAAGGGTGATGGCTCAAAATTCAGGATTCTTACTGTCGGAGGAAAATCGCTAGATCTACATCTCATTTTTGTTGAAGTCACATCTCGTGGTGGGCTTGACAAGGTGACTAGAGATCACAATTGGAAGGAAGTGATTGTGGCCTTCAATTTCCTAACAACAATTACCAGTGTTTCATTTGTCTTACAGAAGTACTACTTGTCTTTGCTGTATCACTTTGAGCAGGCTTATTATCTCCATAAAGTAGTTTTTAGCATCCCAGTGCTTGAACCTGTAAGCAAGGACCTTTTCAATGGGTCAACCATTGTAGAGGAAGGTGCGAGTAGAAACTAGTTTCCAGGTCAGGAAAGTGCAGAAGTGCAGCTTGGCTCTTCAATCATGGGAACCATTGATGGGAAATTTGACAGTGAATATCTAGTTACTGTCAACTTGGGTTCTGACGAACTGCAAGGTGTCTTGTATCATGCTCCTACAGCTACATATGTTTCTCATATGTTATTGAAAGGTGTTGGATCTACAATACAACTTTCATTTCTGGTTTATAACTGGTGGAAGATTTATGACAATGAGAGATGTTGTTATTCTTTACCATCTTAGTAAAGATGATGTTGAGCAGAGGAAGTTGGATGTAGCTTTCATTGGTGCAAAGTACATGCTAAAATTGGAAAATATGTGTAGTGTTTCAGTGGCATTGGTCAATACCATTGCTCATTTTTTGGGAAGGTGTAATGTGGAGTCAATTTTTAGGCAATAAGCTACTCTGCTACTCTAAAGAATCAATCTGTTGCTAAAGAAGTAAGTTCAATGGCAAGACCATTCCAAGGTTGATGCAACCTAGGAACTATATCATGAACTGAAGATGAAGTTTCCTGAGATTGAAAATCTGTGACGGTCGTAGTTCAATTGTAATCTTACTTTGTAAGATTAGTTTTAAGGGGGCGTATTGATAGGATACTGCCAAGTGGCTTAATAAGATGATGACATGTGTACATGGTTGTTTGTAGTTAGTTAGTAGTTAGAAGACAAATAACAGGTTGTAGCAATTGGAAAGGCAGTTAATGAAATTGTATTGTTGTTCTCATGTTCTTTACCTATCTCTCTGTGCAATTGTGGAAGATGTAGAGTAGGGTTCTAACACTGTCAATACACCCATCACTAGTCGCACTGCAAGACTCTTCAACATCATATTCAACCTGCACAATAGAAAGATATAGCCTCAATCATACCAAAAAAAAAAAAGGGAACTAAGTTCATACAAAACTGCAAACACCAGAATATTGATGCGTTATCATAACTTGAGTGAATACTACTACAACATATCATATCGATGAGGTGAACAAAAGACTTATTTTCTTGCTGAAGGCAAGCAATATCTCTTTTCAACTGGAATACCCTAGCGTAGTTATTCTGGTTTCCATACATATCCTTCACGGATTCCCACAAATCTTGTGAGGATTCACAGTAACTGAATATCTCAACAACATGTTTCTCCATGGTGTTGAGCAACAAAGACATGACAAGTTGATCCTTGCACAGCCATGCTTCATAGGCCTGAGAAGAAGGATCTGGAGTTTCAACACTTCCATTAATGAACCCTAACTTTCCTTATCCTCCTAAAGCAAGTAAAACTACCCTAGACCAAGGAAGGTAGTTGAACTCATTCAACATCACCGAGCATAGACGTTGGTTGGTATTGACTTCAGCGTCTAAAAAATTCGAGGGAGCTACCTGAGAGCTTTCTCCCTCAAGATTGACTGAGCTTTCCTCAGCCATTACAGAAGCTTAAAAGAACAACAGCATAAACAGCACGGGTAGAAACAGGTCAAGGATGACACCGTTCTGATACCATGTGGATTTTTTAGTTTCAAAGTATTTCTATTTCATGAATAATTCTAAATGTACAAGGCAGTACATATAGGCGACAGAAACAAATGGTTATAAGCAACCATCTTTACATGAAACCTTAGAGACCAGGTAAACCTAGGACACAAGCTTTTCCATAATTTAAGGTGATTTACATCAAATTCAAAACTAAGAAGTAATCAGCAAGTTAAAGGCCTTGAGTCAAGGAGCTGGAAAACTGGAAAGCTGGCGGTTGACTTGTGCATCCAAGATTACTTGGAGACTTGTGATATTAGATGACATGCTAAGGTTGCTAGGGTTAGTGATTGGTTCCAACAGTTTCTCACGAAGTAAAAATCTGACCTTTGAAACTCCTCAAAACTAATCTCCTTCGACTCGACAAAACCTATCCGACCATAATACCTCCGACAACCCAATGATGGAGATAAGTTTCGTGAAGGGGAATCAGATTCCCTTCCTCATCAATTACTTCACCATTGAAGCTCTTGATTGCAATATGACCTATTAGGAAGTTGATATTGTAGTAATACTTGTCTGCAACTAATCCTGGTCCCAACACAAACTTAGGGGAGACAAAAACACTAGTTCTTAGTTTTGACAATCCGAAGGGCATGGAAGCATGGTGTGCTTAATGCAAATACTACCATAGCCAACAAAAACACGCAACCTTGGAAACAACTTGCCAATTTTTCAGCCAAAATTAAGATAATCTCTGGTTAAACAATTAGAATACTCACACTCACACATAATCTCAAGACTCAAAGCTCTGAATCATAACAAAGCGATGTTATTAGTATTCCAAAAACGTCATCATACACGCATCTCTTATAAAAACATAGGGGAAAAACTGCACTTTGAGGAGTTAAAAGATAATGTCTTTGGAGTGCCAATATTTTGTAACAGCTCCTCAGTTCTTTTATATTGTTTTGCAATAATTATAGTACGGATAATCACATGTGAAGCGATTTTCACGCTCTAAATTTTCATTCTTCCAGATGTTTCTATCATTACTAGCAAAAGGAAGGACTGCATGGGAAAAAAAAGGAAGTGCATAAGGTAAATGATTTTGCACTCTTTTTATTTCTCTCTTGATTTTTTTTTATTTGATCAATCAAATGCTAAAACTGAATAAAAGTGAGCGCGAAAATCATTTTTATATTTATCAAATTTGCACATTTCTAAACAAATTATGTACTTTCCATGCGAATTTTCATATGGGTTAATATAGAAATGAATAAATATAAGTAGAGGTCGGCACGGTCCGGTTCCACCCTCAAAATGGAAAATTTTCAACTGTTTGGTTTGGTGCAATTCCGCTTAAATTTATTACTAAAACCGTACAGTTCGGTTTATGCCGGTTTATGGTTCTAACCAAAATTATATATATGTTTTTTTTCTAATTTTCTACTTCTAATACCAAACACATATTTCAACCACAAATTCAAGTAAATTTGAGTGGTAAATCAATAGATAGAAAGGCTCATATCAAAACCAAAGTGTAGATCTTAAACTAAAACTAAAATGTACATAATGCATAATATACTAGAAAATAATGGAGAAAAATAATGTAAGGGGAGAAAAGTGATAAAACAACAAAGGAGGGGAGAGAAGTGAAGAAAAATGTCTTATTTATATAAAAATAATAATAATAAAATAATTTATATTAAAAGCGGTTCAGTCCGGTTCCTCCGGTTCCTAATATTTCCAAACGGGAACTGTTTGAAACGGTTCGGTTCAGTTTTTGTTCCAGTTTTGACTTTTTTGGTCAACGCGGTTTTTAAGGTTTTTTTTTTTATCACGTTTCAATTCGGTTTTCCGGTTTGACGGTTGTTATGCCTACCCCTAAATATAAATCAACCATAAAGAGGAAGTGAAGAGCGTATCAGAGTAAGGCGGATCTCTTCCACCAAAGCCACCAAATCAAGTGATCTGGAACTTTGAAATTTGATCTAACGGCTAAAGTTATTATAACTTTTAAAGGGACTTCTGTTTTAGTCATTGAATCAAATTTCAAGGGTCCATATCATTTGATTTGATGGTTTTGGTGAAAGAGATCCTCTCCCCTAGAGTAAAAAGAGGAGTTTGAGATGATAAGTTGGAGACTTTCCATCTGTTTGATACAAATCAAATGTATATAATGGATTATTCGTGGGTGAGTGTCCACCGGCTCCTTGAATATATATAATGGATTATTCGTGGGTGAGTGTCCACCCGCTCCTTGAACTTCAAACTCCGTAGACTTTAGAGGAAGAGAGACCTTGAGAGTGACTGGAAACGCGAGTTTGTTGAACATAAAGACACATGTTGTTTTGGCAGAGGGGCATATTACAGAAGTGATGACATTTTGCCAAGAGGATCCTTGCCGAATTATCTTTGTGAGGATTCCGGGAATTCTACGATCACATTCGTTCATCGTACATTGTGCGATCAAAATCATTGTAAATTTTTTTATTTAAAATTGAATATAAATAGTACATGACAAAAACTGACCGCACGATGTATGATAAACGAATGTGATTAAAAGATCCCCAGGATCCTCACAAAGAGAATCCAACGAGGATCCTCTCTCGACATGTTGTGATATCTACGACGTTTCGTATTAATAGTCAAAATATGGTTGGTTGCCTCAGCCATGACGCATAGGTTAACTATGACAAATTGAGCACCTTTTTACTTTATCTTTTTTATGTTAGTATTTGAAGCTCAATTTATATGAAACGAATTTACCGTTATGTGACCTCTTGATTTACTAGTACATCATAGCAATCCATTATTGAACAACAAACATCATATAATGGGCAACTTGTTACATGTAAGTTCTTTTTCATTATTTTCTTTTGCATGGAGCTCCAAGTTTCAAGGATAGAAAGGTTTTAAAGTAATCGTGACTTATATCATTTTCAAATGAAATAATGTTATGTATAAGTTTAATTAATATAATATTATATTATTGAGTTAGAACGTTACGTGACAATGAACTTGTTATACATTACAACCCAAACACAAGCTTCTCTCGTCTCATATTCATTCAAAGGATAAGCCATATTTGCCAAGTAATTTGCAGCTTATTAGTTCAATTCTATGTAACAAATCACATCTTTCAGTGTGTCAATTCAAAAGTCTTTTGTTTAATCAATGTTATTGTAGTGCAGTATTCTAATAGTAATTTTGTAGTATTTATGCGTTTTTCTATGGTATTTTAACGTTGAAGTCTATGTATCCTCTTAAGCCATATCCAAGTATAAAGAATGATTGCAAGGCTCAATTAAGGGCAGTCTTATACTTGTGTGAGAAGCAGCGAGTCAATTCTATAAAGCTTCATCATAATCATGGATCGAGTCTAACAAAAGCTCATTATTTGTAGTGTTTACCGAAGGTTAGTTCTTCTATAAAAAAAGAAGCTTGAAGTGAACGATAAAGTTGTAATAAAGGTAAACAAAAGTTATAATTCAGTGGTCGTTGAAGTTGGGGTGGGGTAGGGGGTATGAGAAGTTGAGAACATAACATGTTTAGAAAAAGACTGTAGAAGTTATATTGAAAAGATAAGGCGCTTACCATTTGGAGAAGGAAATGCTACTGCAGTTCAAAACTACTTCGTAAGGATGCAACTTCATAATGCAAATTTCTTCTATAAAGGCAAGATATGAAGAATTCGGTGATGTTACATTCAACACAATGTACTTGACTAAAAGTACAACATGCCATTTGTAGTTCAGGTAAATACTAAGAGGTTGCATATAATTCTTTTGTTGTTATTTATTAATTTTTATTTACATTGCATAGTATAATGCTCTATTTGTAATTCTTATGTTTTTTTTCCTTAATTTAGGGTCAACAATATAAATATTGAAATGGAGGTTATAGTATGTATAATATGCATGGCTCTACTTCAAGAGGAAACGATGACCAGGAGCTCAACTAAACAATGGAAGCAAACAATGAAACAAATATCTTGTATAGAAACCAATGATTTGGATCCTATTTCTTCTTAACACAGATTTCAATGCATATTCAGATATTTTGTATAGAAACCAATGATTTCGATTAATATATAATCTTTCGGTTTTTTTGATATATTGGAAACAAATGAACTTCGAATGATCAACAACAAAGACCTCTAAGTCTACCTAAAAGGAAGGTGAGGAAAGTTAAATCAGGAGAAATTGCCCCAAGCAGTGGCTGCATAAGTTTAGCACAACCAAGTGCAGTACGATATTGTTTACATGTATTCAGAAAGGCACCCAAACTCAAGTATATAAAACACATATAGAAAAAAGTAGACACAAATTATTCCTATAAGTACATTGGCTTTGTTATGTCAACATATAAGAAAACACTTAAGAAAAAGCCCAAATTATTCCTATAAGTACATTGGCTTTGTTATGTCTACATATCACAGCACTGAGTGAGACGCAGAATCAAGACACTTTACATAATTCATACATAGAAGTTCACAACAAAATCAATCTATGGCCATCGCCAACCTCTTTCTCATCGGCGTTGATGAAGGATGCGAGCAACTTTAGCTTATACGACTCAAAAATCTGCAAGAACAAAACCACGCCAGTACTCAGTTGATTAAAGAAATTGGGTTTAGGTGAAAAACAACCTGGACGCCTTACAGTATATTGGTCAAAGTGTAGAGTCCAAGCTAAGCACAGAGGACTTTGGGAGGTAGTCTGCAACCAAAATGTAGAAGAGATCCATAACTCCTGTGTGTGTCTGGGAGCTGCTGTAATTAGATACTAGAGTCAGAGTCTCCCCATCGTTTATTTTGACTGAGCCGGGTTGAGGATAACAAGTGGACATTCCTACAATATAACCAGCCTCATCTCCAGCTTCCTTCCCTTTTCCATAAATTGGTATTGACGAACACAGAACCCGTCCATCCTAATGTAATCACAAACAAGTACATTACGTAGAGGCACATACTTTCAGTACATAACTCAAACAAGAAAGAGACAAGGAAGAGTGGAATTTAGCCTGACATACTAAGAAACTCTTGACCTAAATCCTACATACAATATGGTCGCAGACTTGGAAATGCAGATAATCTAAACGGTGATGTATCCAAGCCAGTACATACTACTTACAGGAATTATAAAAGGTTTTTGAGTTCTACCACACCGAAAGAAATTAATTTAAGGCCACCATAAGCCAAATTGCTAAGAGTAGAAGAAGAAATCACCTCTCCATATAGAGTTGATCTGATCCCGCCTGTGTGCTGATGAGCTACACCATAGACGACATAACCACCAGTCGGCATGGTAACCACTGTTGATTGGCTGTCAACACACCCATCACTAGTCGCACTGCAAGACTCTTCGACATCATATTCAACCTGCACAATAGAAGGATATAGCCTCAATCATAAAATAGGAATAAGTTCATACAAAACTGCAAACACCAGAATATTGATGCATTATCATCACTCGAGCAAATACAATTACAGCATATCATACGATGAGGTGAAACTCACTAACCCGGCACTCATGTTCGATGGCAAGTCCAGCTGAACGATTCATTTTATCAGTAACATCGAAGATATAAATCTTGACAGGAATGATAGAATCAGACCAATCAACCCACTTCACAGTATATCTCAAGTAGAGGTTTCTCTTGACACCATTAAAGCCTTGTTTTACTCTGCACTGTGTACCATCATAACAACAACGCAAACCTCCTTTGTACCCCGGCCTCAAAGGCTGGCCTCGAGAATCGGTTGACACATTATAAAGATCACACCTGCACTCGGTGCATCCCAACCCATTCTCCACTCCCCGTGTATCAATGGCATGCACATTGAGCAGCCATCTCTCCTCATAGCCAGCGGGAATCACTGCCGGATTCCCAACTTCAATTCCAAATGGATCCGGAACATGTGTATCTGTTCTCCGTGTTTCGGACCCAATTCCAAAGTACTGTCCATTAGTATACCCCTGGCACACTCCACTGTTTCTCACAAAAGCGAAATCCGACCTTTGAAAGTCGTCAAAACGAGCCTCCTCCGGCTCCACAAAACCTGTCCGGCCATAATACCTCCCGACAACCCAATGATGGAGATAAGTTTCGTGAAGGGGAATCGGATTACCTTCCTCATCAATTACTTCACCATTGAAGCTCTTGATTGCAATATGACCTCTCGGGAAGTTGACATCGTAGTAATACTTGTCTGCAACTGATCCTGGTTCCAGCACAAACTTAGGGGAGACAAAAACACTAGTTCTTGTCTTAGGTTTGACAATTCGAAGAGCATGTGAGCATGGTGTGCTTAATGCCAATGCTACCATAGCCAACAAAAACACGCAACCTTGAAAACAACTTGCCATTTTTTTTCTGCCAAAATTAAGATAATCTCTGGTTATACAATCAGAACACACACACGCACAAGCCCAAGACTCAAATTTTAAATCATAACAATCGATGTTGTTGACACCCCAAAAAACCCATCACCATCCCTTATAAAAGGATAGGGGTAAAGCGAAAGGAAGACATTTTTGAAGTATCAATATCAACACTTCAAAATTAATTTCCTTTATGCTTTTTTGCAAGAATTATGGATACGGGTAATCACATGTGAAGCGATTTTCACACTCTAATTTTCTCCTTCTACATATTCTTTCAACTGTTTCCATCACTACTCACAAAAAGGACGGACTGAGGAGGAGAAAAGAGAGGGCATAAGGTAAATGATTTCGCACTCTCCCTTTTTCTCCATCTCTCTCCTAATTTTATAAGGAAGTATGCGGAAATCATTTCCGTATTGAAAGTGCGCATTTCTGAACATATTATGTACTTTCCAGGCGAAATTTTCATATGGTTAATATGGAAATGAACAATTATAATTCAGTCATAAAAATAAAAGGCTGAAGAAGCGTACCAGAAAAAAAAGAGTTGTCTGAGATGAGAAGTTGGAGACTTCCAACCTGTTTGAAACAATCAAACATATGTATCACGGCTTATGCGTGTATGGGTGAGCGTGCACCGCCCCGTCAAACTCTATATAGACTAGAGAGAGAGAGAGAGAGCTTGGAGGTGATTGGAAACTCCAGGAGTATGACGGAAGCGATGACGTTTCGTGCTATCTACAGTTTGAAAATTTTTAATTTTAAGATAAGGATAAAAGAAAGGGTAAAGTGAATAATACCATAATTAACTTTTTAATGTAAAAATATGATTTTTCGTTGAAATGAACCGTACGTAAGATTTTCGTTAAAATTTTTTTAAAAATTAACTACGAAAATTTGACCATCTCTTTATTTATATTTTTATAACAATATTTAAAAAATCATTTATATGAAACGAATTTACAGCTATTTGTTGTTTTGATTGACAAATATCATAAAAATCATTGAAATCTAGTAGTAATTTTATAGTGCTAAATAGTTGATTAACTGTGTTTTTGTATGGTATTTTAACAATCAAGTCTATGCATCAATAAATAGAATAAAAATCATTGAATTCCTTGGTACTTTAAAATGTCCACGTAGGAAACCTTGATTAAATAGGAGAAATCCAAGACAAGCCGAACCTAGTAGCAAAACAAGATCCCTGCATCGCACAACAAAATAATTTCATATTACAAAATTTAGACTCTAGTAAATGAACACTTTCGGACCTTCTCCATTAGAAAAGATTGTAAAAGACGTCATGCGTTGGTTGGATGATGGGTTGGGGTCTAGTGCTTATGTAGCTAGGTGGGGTCTAAGCAAGCGCTTAGACGAACTTGGCAGATTTAAGTAAATCTATTAAATTTTACGTAAATAGGTGTCTGTTTATACTTAAAATATATGTAATTATCATAAACTACAAAATTTCGTGCATATCCTTCTTTCTTCCTTCTTTCCACTCTGATTTCCCTCTTTTCCACCAAATTTATCTCTTCTCCAAAAGGCAACTGACCTTTAATACGTTTTTTCATTTAATTGCGGCAAAAGCTAAACCTAATTTTAGTGCTTGTAAATTTGGATTGAGAGAGGGAGCTGGGGGAGGGAGTAGACAGAATAAATGAAAACCCACATATAAATCAGAGAAATGATAAAAAAATCAAAAATCAAAATTGAAGGATTTGGGTCTCCTCCAAGAAACACCAAACCAATCACTTCAACTCCAAAAATTCATCAATCAAAAAGCAAAGTTAAGCAAACCCAGTTCACAAAACCTATGAATGAAAAGGAAAAAATTGAAGAAGATGGGTGGGTGAGAAAGAGAGCTCTTGTGCATATTCGAAATATAGAGAGAGGAGAAAGAGAGCTTGGATGAAGAAGTTGAGTGGATTAGAGAGAGCTCTTGGATGAAGATAGGTGGGTTAGGGTTCTTTGAACTAGAATTTGGGGAGAGGGATTTTCTCTCTCCCTCCTCTGTTTCTCTCTCTACAAAATGAGAAATAAGAGTTGAAATTTCTGGATAACCTATTTATATGGGAGGACAATTTAGTCATTTTAAGGTGTGGGAAAAATCTTATTTCTGTCTAATTGTTGTGCATGGCATGCACATATTTGAAATGTCTTATTTCTATCACAAAATTAAAAAATTATCCTATTTTTAGGTATTTTCCAAAAAGAAATACCCAATCACCTAATCTACAAAGAGAATATCATATGATTACAAAAAATATATGAACAGAATTGAAAGCGTTTTGCTTCACTACAATATAAAAACCGAGTGAAAACAGGATGAATATGTCGGTAACGACATCAAATTTTTATTCAAACGAGATGGTGCTAAACTGATATCTTGCTTTCAACTTTACATATAGTGACGATCATATCGTTAACAACCACCTGAATATTTATGCAAATCTTCAAATTTATTAAGTTGATAGGAGCTTTATAACTTCATCACACGTTCACCAAACAGATGAATATGATCTTACAAATGTTTATTTTATGTGATAATAGTAGCTTATGTTACTCAAAGTGTTTCTGCAACCAAAATGTAGAAGAGACCCATAACTCCGCTATGCATCTGAGTGCTCTCGTAGTTAGAAACTACAGTCAGTGTCTCTCCATCTTTTATCTTAACTGAGCCCGGCCGAGGGTAACAAGTGGTCATTCCAATGACATAACCAGCCTCATTTCCCGCTTTTTTTCCTTTTCCATAAATTGGTGTTGACGAACACAAAACCCTTCCATCCTAAATTAAAACGATTACAATTAATTAGCAAGAACATTAGTTAATCAGTTGGTTAATGACACTACGACAGTGTATAATTACTAATTTGATTAACAACCAATTAAATTACTTGGAGTGGAAGAAAAAAAGCACCTCTCCATGCAGTGTTGAACCAAGCCCCCCAATGTGCTGATGGGCTACACCATAGATGACATAACCACCGGTTGGCATTGTAATCTTTGCCCATTTGTTGTCTAAGCACCCATTAGTGGCATTGCAAGATTTTTCAACATCATATTCGACCTGCACAAAAGAAAGATACATAAAGAATCAAAAGATTTATGTTGTCAAACTGTAACGATGAACCACCCATGCGTGTTAGCAACAAATTAGCAATCAAAATAACGAAGTTTTACGTTGTATCGAGACAGACAGTGTTTGATAAGAGAATGTTAATGTCATACAGTACAAAATTAAGTTCATAAATTAATTAATTACCAGGCAATTGTGTTTAGCTCCAGTAGGTGCTGAATGATTCATTCTATCAGTGGCATCAAGGATATAAATCTTGACAGGCACAACAGACTCGGACCAATCAACCCACTTCACAGTATATCTCAAGTAGTGGTTTTTCTTTTCACCACCAAACCCTTGTTTCAGTCTGCACTTTGCACCATCAGGGCAACATGTCAAACCCCCGGCGTACCCAGCCGGCAGAGGCTGGCCACTTGGATCCCTGGACACGTTATACATATCACACCTGCACTCCGTGCACCCTAGGTCATATTCCACACCTCTAGTATCAATTGCATGCACGTTGAGCATCCATCTCTCCTCAAACCCTTCAGGAACCCCTTTACCATCCCCAACTTCGATTCCATAATGACCTGGAACGTGTGTGGCTGTTTTTCGTGTTTCGGATCCGAGTCCAAAATATTGTCCAAGAGCACCATTCTGGCACATCCCACTGTTCCTCAGCCATATAACATCCGATTCCGAGAGCTGCTGGGGAAGCTGCTGATCTGGCTCCACGTAACCTTTCCGAGCATAATATCTTTCAACAAGCCAGTGATGGACGTAGACTTCATGAAGAGGACTGGAATTCCCTTCTTCATCAATTATTTCAGCATTGAAACTCTTTAGGGCAATGTGACCTTTTGGGAAGTGAACGTTGTAAAAGTATTTGCTGGAACTTAATCCTGGTTCCAACACAAACTTAGGGGAGAGGTAGACGCCAGTCTTGGTCTTAAATTTCTTGTGTTTCAGATGTGCATGTGAACATGGAGTGCTTAATGCCAATACTAGCACGGCTAACAAAAATACCCAACCTTGAAAACAACGTGCCATTTTCCTGCTAATAATGAAATGGTAATCTCTTAGAAAAATACTCGCGCAAAATGCTCATGAAATCTCTTATGGATAATACTTTTAAGAGAAAAGTCTTCCTTCACTAACGTGATATCATTTCATTGTATAACTGTAGAAACGAAACCGTTTATTGTTTTTATTAGAATTTAAGACCATCTGTAAAAAATTCTTCAATTTGGATACCATTGTCATCCATATATGTTGAAAAAAATTGATGGTTATAATAACAAAGTAGCATTCTTGAGGTAAACTGTCAATTTCTTTGATTCATATAGATAACCAAAGAAACTCTAACTCAAATAAATTTTTTCTAGAAATATCTGTAAACAATGATAAATGACTCAAATTATGACATTTGTATGTAAAATAATACCCCGTTAGCGAGATTTGAGCACTCTCACTTAATTAAGAATGAAGAAAGTATTATTCATCTCTTATTTTTTTATGTCAATCAATCAATAAATATATAAACTATCAGAAATTACAAAATAATATTCAAGCGTAAGATAATAAAATAACATGATATGACGACATAAATGTCGACGTTCATCACAAATTTGAAACGCGCAAGAAACAAAAAAGTTAGCTAAAAAGCAAGTTTGAAGGGCTTTCTGTAATGGGGGAAAAGATTTTCAAATAGTTACAGGGACTATAAACACACAAAACTGATCTCGTCATTTACATGGGTGCATTTTTCCTCACTACCCTCAAGTGATGGTAATGCTCATTACCCTACTTAATTATTACTATTGAATGAATTTAAATTTTGATATTTGTGTTTATCCACTACACAGATCTCAAAATTTAAACTCATCCAACAATTATAAAGTGGTGAGGAAAATTATTCCCTCATTTACATACGTTCTAGCTAGTATAGGCGGGTTTCAGATATAATTACAGACCTTACTTCTATTAGGTCAGTTTTTGTTTGTCTGGAGTAACATTGTGGATATAAGAAAAGACATAAGAAAAACCCTTCAAAATATAAAAAACCAAGACAATGTAATTGTTATAAAATGTTTTCCACCTTGATTGAATCTACAAACCCCATAAAAATTGAAAGAACGATGAAAATAAAAAGGTTAAAAGTAGAGAGAGTACTCCGAAATGGATGTCTGCTGGAAGAGGAAGCTCTCAACCACCGAAAGAGTATGAGGTGAAGATGAGCACCGTGTAAGATATGAATCCATTACCTATCCATCCTATCCTATATATATATACTTATTTGTAAGTGTGTCAAACACAAATGAAGAAAATAAAACGTGAGAAATTGCCTGGAATCTGGAATTGTACATGTTTTATCACTGTGTACGGTTTACTTGTCCTTGGTCATCCCACGAGGAATAGAACTTACGGGCAATCTTAGACTATTCCATGGAAGCTTATCGCCGCTGCCACTTCAGGAAAGACAGATGGGTTAATTTCTTCCTGCACAAGCCAAATAATGGTATAAGCGTTAGATTAGCAGTCAGCCCTCAGCCATGACGATGCTAATTAAGGGAACTAAGAAAATATGACTGCATTTAGTTTCATCTTAGGTTTATTCAATT